CCATTGACATTGGAAATTCATTTGACTTCATAATATGGTGTGGTTGAGAGTTGGTTGTAGCTTGTATGCATTACCAAGACTTACACCAATACCAGTCTACACTAATAAGAATAACCTATTCCTTACATATATATACTGTACAACATCAACCTATCACATAATTCCCAGTCAAACACAATTCCCAAACAATCCACACTAATTGATTTGACCAATACCAGTCTACACTTATAAGCATACCCTATTGCTATATAGTTGGTCATCAGCATCACCTTAATTCCCAGTCAAACACAATTCCCAGACAATCACACTCTTTAAGCTCAAAATACACCGAAACAGTAACAGCAAATAAGGAAACAATATTATCCCGCTCAAAGAATGAACAAGACTGACCAAGACCAGTCTACATATATGCCTAAAATTAATATTATTGTCAACAAATTCGCAACCAAAAAACAATCAAAACAAAATGTGCTTTTCAATTTTAAAGCAAGAAGGGTGATACTTAAGACCTCGGCGGCTATGGACAAAAGATAATGTCATAATGGACGGCCAAGTAAATTTCAAATCATTTTTTTTTTTTGGGTAAATTCAAATCAGTGGTATGATTTGAAGTTATAGCCAAAAAAAATATAGCATGGGACCTGTAGCATAAGATGTACTATATAAATAAGAGCTTTAAACCAACATTTGCTACACAACAACCATAAGCCATGGGGTCTTCAACCTTATAGAAGGTCCTCTCATTTGTTTCCTTAGTCTTGTTTGTTGTGTTGTTGTCTTCACCCAACTTAACTTCTGCTTCTGTTCAAGAAGCTAAAGCTCTCCTCAAATGGAAAGCCAACCTTCAACAACAAAATATTTCTTGCTAACATCATGGATTTTACCTTCTAATTATAATGCCACTAGTTCTTCAAGCCCTCCAAAAACAAGTGCCATCCCATGCACTTGGTCTGGAGTTTCTTGCAATATTGATGGAAGTGTCACGAGACTGAACCTCACAAATTCAAGTGTGAATGGTACTCTCTATGACTTCCCATTCTCGTATCTTGCTAATCTTGCATATATTGATCTCAGCATGAATGGTTTTTCCGGTGCATCCCACCTCAAGTTGGTAAACTTGCAAAACTCATCTATCTTGATTTGCCCATCAATCAGTTCTCTGGAATAATCCCACCACAAATCGGCCTGCTAACAAATCTTCAAGTCATCCACCTGTTCCAGAATCACCTAAATGGTTCAATTCCTATAGAAATAGGCCAGCTAAAGTCCCTTTATGAGCTTTTTGTGCACTCTTAACGATCTTGACGGTCCCATTCCCGCCTCTTTGGGCAGTTTAAGTAACTTGGCTTATTTGTATCTCTATGAAAACGAACTGTTTGGTTCCATTCCTCCAGAAATGGGAAATCTCATCAATCTTGTCGAGCTTGATTTGAGTCAAAATTTGCTCACAGGTCCTGTCCCTTCCACTTTCGAGAAATTGAATAAGCTTACCATGTTGTACCTATACCAAAATCAGCTCTCTCATCCAATTTCCCCAGAGATAGGAAACCTGAAGTCCCTTGAGAGTCTGATCCTTTATACAAACAATCTTTCTGGCTCAATCCCGGCATCCTTAGGTGATCTAAGCTTCCTAACTCAACTATCTCTCTATGAAAATCAACTCTCCGGTCCCCTTCCTAAAGAATTAGGGAAGTTAAAGTCTCTCAATGATCTACTATTGAGTGAAAATCAACTCAATGGTTCTGTTCCTGCTTCATTTCGTAATCTGAGCAACTTGGAGAACTTGTTCTTCCACGACAACCAACTCTCTGGCCCCATTCCACGAGAAATTGGGAATCTGGAGAACTTGGTTATACTGGAAATGGATAAGAATCACTTTTCTGGTGATTTGCTTGAAAAGATTTGCCAAGGCGGAAAACTGAAATAATTCACGGTAAACAATAACCAGCTTACCAGTCTTATTACCAAAAGCTTGAGAAACTGTTCCAGCCTAACCCGAATGCGCCCGGATGGAAACCAGCTAACTGGAGATGTGTCTAAAGATTTTGGTGTGTATCCGGCCAAATCTTCAATTCATAGATTTTAGTAACAACTTCTTTTTTGGTGAAATGTCTTATAGGTGGGGACAGTGCCTAAATTTGGCTAACCTAAAGACGGCAAGGAACAGTATCACTGGACGAATGCCACCAAAGTTGGGAAATTTATCTCGACTTCAGGTAATTGATCTTTCTTTGAATCAATTAGCCGGGGATATTCTAAAGGAACTAGGGAAGTTGGACTTGCTGGTGCTTGATTTGAAAGATAATCAACTTTCTGGTAGTATACCTAGAGAACTCAGATTACTTGTTAATCTGTTGTATCTTGACCTGTCCAAAAACGGATTGAGTGGTGCAATACCTGGAATTCTATAAAATTGCTTGCAGTTGCATTACTTGAACTTGGGCTACAACCGTTTTAGCCAAAATATTCCACCAGAGATGTATAAGTTAGCTCAACTGTCCGAGCTAGACTTGAGCGATAATTTTCTCGTGGGAGAAATATCTTCGCAAATTAATAATTTGCAGAGTTTGGAGGAGCTAAATCTCTCCCACAATAACCTCTCTGGTTTCCTTCCAGAGTCTTTTGAAGAAATGCATGGGTTGATATATGTTGACATATCCTACAATAGGTTTCGAGGTCCCATTCCCAGTAACAATGCCTTTAGAAATGCAACCATATAGGCATTACAAGGGAACAACGGTTTGTGTGGCAATGTTACAGGATTGAAACCTTGCGAAGATGGCCAACACATTGTGAATGAAAGCGACAAACCCATGCTAGTTTTTATAATTGTATTACCTCTTATGGGAGCTGATGAGCGCTGAAAAGTGCGTATTTAAACCCCTTAAGCTTATGTATTCTAGAACCTTTATCTACTTTATTTTACTGTTTTGTATTGATTTCGTGTTATTTCCATTTTTAGATACTTATCCCCAAAATAAGCTAATTCAGCCAAACAAGAGCATAATTGAAGCAATTCTATGATTAATCAAATAAAGGAGCAAAGTAGAGCAAAAGAAAGCAAATGGTGGAATTTCAGCAACTTCGATCGATCTCAAGAAAAGTTCGATCGATCTAATTTTCATCGATCTTACCGCTTCAAGATAGATCTGAGCTATGTTTGTCTCTGTTCAAAGATCTCAAAAGTTCGATCGATCCAACTTCCTTCTTCGATCGATCGACCATTCTTATCCTTATCCAAATGATTGATCTTATCCAGTTGTACCACCCTACCAACCACTTTTGTTCTTTTCCCAAAAATATTTTCAAAATATCTCAGATTTGTTTTTATCCAAAAAGGCGCCGCCATTGAGGATTGATCCAACTTCAGTTCGATAGATATCAGCCATGTTCGATCGATCGAACTTCCTCCAGTGCGAAAAAGTTTAATTTCCAGCTCACAAAAGTTGTCCTTAATCCAATCACTGGGGAATATTTGTTGTACAACCCCATCTCATTTTGGGTGTCATTTCACCTACCTATATAAGGATAAGGATTACTTTTTATATTATAGAAGAACATAGAGGATCATATTGTATTATATTATACTTAAAGAACTCTTAGGGAGGAAGCAAAGAAGAGGGGGAGGCTAGAGACACTATTGGAGACTCTTCATCAACCAAGGAGCGGATTTCTTCCATGGAGCTTGCCCTTGAGGGTTGGAGGACATCATCCATGAGTGGCTAGACATCGTCTTGGGGCTAGAGTTAGCCCTAAGCATGCTTTTCACTTCTTAATTTATGTATTTTTGAGGGGATTTGTATTGTGATTCATGTCTTGATACTTTTATATATATAGATCTTGTTTCTTCAATGATTTATATGGTTTAATACTTCCAATTGATCATTTCATTCTATCCATATGTCTATGTATGCTAGAATAGATGTTCATATGTTTATCTCTATTTCTTGTGTTATTGATGCATGTCTATATGTGTTGATGCTATAGATTTAGAGATTGTCAAGACTTAGTGCTTAATGTCATGTTCTTGTGATTTATTTGATGGTTCATACTCATTGCTTGATGGATTGTGCCTTTCCTTAGTTTAATTAGTTTAATTTCATGCCATTACCTTAGTTGTAGTGTAGTTGTTAAATGGGAGAACAATCCATGCTTGTTGTTGATGTTTCATACTTATGAAAAGCAAGTAACATGTATCTTTAACCTTGTGATGTGTTTGGATTGTGAGCTTAAAGAAAGGATTAATGGCTTAATTTGATATGTTGTTTTATCCACCATGTTGTTTAGACGATATATGCTTAATTTGTTATCCATGCTTGTTGAAACAACCACACACACATACTTTATTGCAATACATGTTCTTCCCCTCATTAATCATTCATTAAAGGTGTAGAAAAGCTATGCTTAGTGGTGATCTCTAAACCCCAAGATCTCTCTCTATCTTTTATTCCCTCTATTGCATTATTACTTACTTTAGTTTAATTTGCATCTAGTTTAATTCAACCAACCAACCACTATTTTGATCACTCGACTTACTAACCCTAATTTTGATTCCTCAAGCTAGTACGACAACTCAATCCCTTGGGACGATCCCTTCTCACTCATACTACATAGTATAGGTGTTAAGCGGTTTATAAATTTAAATTATGGTGCCCACTTGACACTAATTTCCAACCAACCAACCAACCAACCAACTATTTTGTGCATTATTTAATTCAACCAACCAACCACTATTTTGTGCATTGTTTTGTGCGACCACTGAGAGGATCAACAGGAGCACTTTTACTTCTTGGTGCATTCATTGGACTCCTCATCATGTTTGGAAGAAGAAAAGGCAAAGCACCAATTGAACAATGCGATTTGCTGTATGATAAAAATCTGTTTTCAGTTTCCAATGTTGATGGAAGAGCAATGTATGATGAAATCTTAAAAACCACCAACAATTTCGATGCCTCAAATTGCATTGGGCAAGGAGGATATGGAACTGTCTACAAAGCAAGATGCCATCAAAAAATATAGTGGCTGTGAAAAAACTTCACCCGTTGTCTGAAACAGAAGACGGTAAAGGGTTTTTGAATGAGGTATTGACAAAAATTCGACATAGGAACATTGTAAATCTGTATGGTTTCTGTTCACATGCTCAACACTCTTTTTTGGTTTATGAGTATTTTGAAAGAGGTAGCTTGGCCACGGTCCTTAGCAGAGATGAAGAGGCTGAAAATGTGGATTGGCCCAAAAGGGTGAATATTATTAAGGGGGTGGCTCATGCTGTGTCTTACATGCACCATGATTGCTCACCACCAATTGTTCACAGGGACATATAAGCAACAATATTTTGTTAGACCCCGAGTATGAGGCTCATGTTTCAGATTTCGGCAGTGCTAAGCTTCTAAAGCTAGACTCCTCGAATTGGAGCACACTTGCAAGCACATATGGATATATAGCACCTGGTAAACATAGCTTTGTGTTCTAATTCTAACTAATTTGACATATATAGTACTGCAGATCAACTATACATCATCATATTTTACTTTTTCGTTACAGAGCTTGCTTTCACAATGAAGGTAACTGAAAAGTGTGATGTGTATAGCTTTGAAGTGTTGTCACTGGAAGTGATCAAAGGAAAGCATCCAGGCAATGTCATCACCTCGTTATCATTTTCATCTATTGATCAGAATATAATGCAACAAAATGTGTTGGACCAGCGCATTTCAGCTCCCTCAACCGAAGCTAAAGAGGTGTAGATGTCAATTATAAAACTGGCCATTGCATGTTTAAATGTCAATCCACAATCCAGGCCGACCATGTGCATTGTCTCTCAGCTATTGTCAACCCTAACACCACATTCTTAGAACTATCCAACTCAGTTATACAGTGTGGAAGGATAATTACCTAGTGTAGTATTGATATACTGCTAAATAAAACAAAATATGTGCTCAACATTTTTTGTCATCTTTTGTGCCTTTTAGTGTGTGTTTTTTGTACCTTTTAGTGTGTGTGTGTGTTTTTTTTTCATACTCCGTATCTATACATAAACACTTCATATCAATAAAATGTCAGTATTTTTGTTCGACGTTGTCCTAAATGTGCTTACGTAAGTTTGGGTGGTGGTTCTCCGTGGCTATCTATTGTTTTGAGAAAAGATTAAATTGTGATAATTGTGGTACAAACAACTTACATTTCAAATCCCGTCTTATCATTACAAAAAACCATTAGTTTTGCCATTACATTTCAAATCCCATCTTATTATCATTACACAAGATAAGAATGAATACACGGCTCTAAGTACAAAGAAGTAGAAACCCTAACTTTCAAATATCTGCAAATAATCGAATATAATTATCAAACTTCAATGCAACTTCAATTGTAGCGCAAACTAGGTTTCCTCGGCCTTGTCTCATCCATATACACTTGCTTGAATGAAGTACACAATTACATAAGCTTTGTAACTCAGTGTTAGTACTTAACAGGCTTAAACCACACTTGATTTACTCTTACACTTAAGATCATGAAAAACCTTGTCTCTGAGTAGAGGTGGTCTTGGAGACACAACTGAGAGGCTTGGTAGATCAGTGAGATGAGTTTTGAAGGATGAAAATGGATTTTTCCTCCGAAGCTGCCTATAGAAAGTTGGTACACTTCTCTTGTGAATGACACCTGCATCAACACCTTGGTGTAGCTTATCTCTTAGAGGTATGGTCTTGAAGACTCTATTGATGAGCATGATACGTATAGAAGTTGACACTCAGTGGCTGGAAGTGAATTTCTTATCCAAAAATATTGAGAAACAGCTTGTGTGAGAACAGAAAGCGGAGAATCTGAGGTAAGAACAAAGTTATTGGCTTCAAAGCTATCGAGTTTGCACTGCAGTCTTTCTGCTTCTTCATAAACAAACGGATTTGAGCTACCATCAGTTTTCTTTTGTTGCTTGGCTTTATCAATCTTGTACTTATAAAAATTTCTTATGTGGGCAACTTCAGGTTTTGACAATCTTTAACTTCCTTCAACAATGTATTGATTATGAACTTATGTCATTATTTTCATATGTCTTGAACAATTATCATCACAACTCCACCAGCCCCTTGAATTGCAGATCTTGGGAGTTGAGTACACTGACTTACTCATTAAGTTAGTCTTCAAAGATGGTCTCATCATTTTGATCTTAATGAAGTGCCTCTTATCTTTACATCAAGAAACCAGTGCATATCAACTTTTCTCATAACACAGGCTGATAGGGTTCTTGAATAAATCAGGAAAGGGTTAGTAAGGTTATTTCTATCATACCTTGGGGAAATATATGAATTGTCAATGACATTGTGATTGGACTTGAATGACCTTCTGTGTAACGACCCTAACTGATGCCAAAATTTTTAAAAAAAATCTGCATGACCTCTGCTAAAAATCGTCCTCCAACAACATGTTTAAAAGCATTTTTAACCTATCCCAACACAATAAACATCTAATACATTCCATGGTGGTACAACCACATACTATATCATCCAAGTATCTTAATTACAGTCCCAAAATACAAGATTAAGATCAAATGTCTACGCTTTATAAGCCCATAGGTATAAGTATAATATTCAAAGTCCATAAGTCATCGTACAAAATACATTATGCTTAGTCTTACAAAAATAGAGTGACCCAAGTACAAAAATAACAAAATAAGCTCCTAATCCATACTAAGTCTGTGGTAGAATGTCATCCGCCACTTCTTTCCTGTTTCCGGTAAAAAAATGTTAAATAAAAGAGGTGTACAAAATTGCTCAGTAGGTGGTGCCTAAGACACGCCTCTTTTATCCCCGTGAATCCAAACAAGGAATAGGACAATAGGAATTTGGGGTCATGCAAAGCCGGGAAAATACAATATCAATTCTAAGTTCAAAGCAAATAAATTTCATGCCATGAATGCAATGTTATGCATGTCACTCCCCATTTTCAGAAAAACATCATCACTTCACAAACTGTTAATATAACCCGCCTTTTGGTGACTCCGCAGTGACACGAGAGAAGGATTGGCTACTGTCTCTGACCTTTGGTACCTCCGCAGCGTCATTTGGGGGCCCAGATAGCTCAACCACACTAGGGCAATCTCCATAATTCCCTCTAGGCTATATTAACACACTGGCCCTTTGGTGACTCCACGGGGACCGAGTTTTTCTCAAAAACCGTTTCATCAAATTCTCCCCAAAATCCCTTTTTCATCTTTTTTAAATCATTTCACCCTTTTCATACTCCATGCTTTGAATGCATGTTACATGCCTTTTTAATACCATAAAAATTTGGGAAAAATTAATGTTACACAACTAGCATGCTTCCTCATAACAATTTTTAACAATTTAATGAACATAACAAGCATAGAAGATCAACAATTAGGCATACTTTCCATGTAGAACAACAAATACACATAATAGCATGCTTCACATACACAATTAAAATCATTTAAGAGATTATAAGTTCAAATCTAGCATGATTGACAACAATTAAACTAGGGAAACTCACAAAGGAACAAGAATTTGTGTATTTGAGACCCCTACCTCTAAAGCAATGAAAAATCCCAAATTGATGCCCTAGATTTTGAAAATTAAAGAGTTCATCAAACTAGAAATTGCTCCTATCAACTTGTAGGCCTCGCCGTGAGCTTCAATTTGCCGCAAACGGCACTTCAAAATACTAAGAATTGAGGAATTAATCAAGGGTTGAAGTTGCAAATGAAAAAGAAAAAATAAAGTAGCGAGAGAGAAAGAGGACGCAGCAGAGAGAAGAGAAACAGAAAATGGGTCTGTAATCCCATTAACTTAAAGTAAAGTGGGTCCCACCCATTTTTTTTTCCTTTTCTTTCCTCTTTTTCTTTTGTTTTTAAATTACACCTCACACACAAATATATATAAAAGAAAAACTTAAACATTACATTCTGACAATAGAATAATTGTATCCAAGCTCAGTTCTTCTCCAGATTTCTTCACATCTCCATGTATCAAACTGGATTTTGTCAAGTTTTTTTAGTTTACTAATGAACTTCAAGATGGGAAAGCTCTAATTATCTTTAGCAATTACTGAATATGTCTAATTAGTTCTCCTTGTAACAGCTCTTTTGTGGACACTATCAGCTTCCGGTGACAGCTCAAAACATTTTACCAACCTTCTTGTAAGGTATAAGAAGTTGAACACCAGTGAGACATCTTTTTGCACTTCAAAAAGCTCTGCAGTGAATCTTTTGGCTTGAATTTAAGAGTGTAGTATGCTGCTAGTGATAAAAAGCAAAGATTGGAGAGGTTACCTTTGATTTGATTAAGAGAAACAATCTTTGACAGGTGTAATTTTGAATTTTATTTGTCAATATCAATCTTATGTGGAATGTACTCTTTAGTAGGTACATCTTCAATGTCACCATCAGCTTGTTGCTTCAATGGTTCACCAGATCTAAAATCCCATTCAGAGACCGAAGCCTTTTTGACCAGTTTGTTTTTGTTGTTTCAAGTTATTTAGAGCATGCCCTTTGATCATTTTTCTTATCTTCTTTGCCGTATTTTGAACCTCAGCCTTAGATGAAAAATCTTCAGGTTCTTTTTCAGTTTCACTATCTTCATACTTCACTTGAAGAGGTTATACATTGTCCTCTTTGACCACATAGATTCTTTCATAAGCTTTATTAACTAAATCCCACATATCTTTGGCAAAATCGAGTCCCAAAATCACTTTCAAAAAATTCTAAAAATGGTACCATCAATTCTAATTGACTTAAAATAATTAAAAATGCACTTCTAAAATTCTCGGCTCAAGAAAATGACCAAAACGACCCTCAAAAAAATAAATAAAATAAAAATTCAAAAAAATTCAGAAAAATCGAAGACATTACAACCTTGAATTCACAAGGTGGTGACTTGAATCCACAAGGAGGAAAAAAGAATTCGCAAAGAAATCTGATAATATATTAGTAATTGAATGAATGATCTACTATATAGTACATGTACTTATAAATAAAACCTAACAACATAAAAGGAAATCCTAAAAACTTAAGGAAACTAGCAAAACAAAGAAACTGCTCAAAAAATAAACTTAGAATTTTATGAAAAATAAAGAAAAAACCTAATGACTAAAAACTGCTAAATAACAAAAAGGAAAGCAAATCGAATCCGTTTAATCTTTTAACGAAAATCCTGAAATATTCAAAATTAGGAAAACGCCATTCCCGAGCCTTAAACAATTGAATTAGGTCAAAAGGTGCCCTACTTCGGTAACAAAGCTGTCAATATTTGCGAGTTGGGTCATTTTTAATAAAATTGGGCTCTTTTCGGGTCAAAAACGAATTCGTCAAAATCATCCGATAAAAACATATCAACCCGCCCGTTTGACCTTTTGTCGATCCAAACGGATTCCAAAATCTTCAACTAATTATTCCGCATCACTTTTCTTTTTTTATTATAAATAACACATGCACCTACTTTTAGGACTTAAAATCCTGGACCATTCATTTTTGAAGTTGAATAAATACTATTGATTTTGGTGCTCCATTTAGAAAATTTAAGAAGATACCACTCCAACTATATAAATAGATTGACTTGTTATTCCTTTGACAACTATATTATTCTTATTGAAATGGTGAATAGAGGGGAGAGACCGAAATTATGGTTAGTTGTGTCTGGTATGAATCCCTCTCATCATAGTTAAATATTATTTTCTTTTGATTAGCTAAACTTTTTTTCTTTTTTTTTTTTTTTTTTACCTTGGCAAACAAACAACC